AATTTACAACGTGAAAGTAAACGTAAACTAAAAAAAAAAAAGGTTCATCTAAAGAAACTAACAAAAATTCTACGTTTAAAAAATTCTACTTATTTCGTTATTTGACGAAAACGCCCTAAACAAATTTCTAGTCGAGCTTCGAAAGGCGATCATAGTATAAATGACAATAGGAAAATAAAATGTCCAGTGAAGCATAAACGACAAGCTGTCACGCAATGCTGTAAATCAAAGTGTTTTTCTGTTCCTTCATTCAATAGTGTTCCACATCGCTACGTAAATAAATTAAATTCTAATTACTTTATACGTTCCCAATGAATCCCATGATGTTAAACGCTAATTTCGTCCGAAGTACGTTTAATTAACTCCCTTAGCCGAACACGCGTTAAATAATCGTATTAAGTTCACTTTCACGATCTGCTTTATTGATTCATTGAAATGGCACCGAGCTAGTGGTACCGCATATGTGAACGGTGCGTTATAATTAAATACAGATCACTATACAGAACGTATCGATGCTCCATAGATCGAACGGCAGATATTCTCTGAAAAATAAAGCTCCGTCAGTAACGAATTATGACATCGATACAGGAAGAGTCACGATCCCTCTAATTGAATTTATTCGAAATCAATCGAGTCGATGCATGGATTGGAATGACAACTATGCATCGTGTAATTTTCAATAAAAATTTCATCCAATCCGTGCGATCCTCTAGTTCCCGGTGCCTCGCGATGGTGACGTTATAAATTCGGAATGTCACGAAAAATATTAAGTGCAAGAGTATGTGGAAAATGTGGAATAAAATTTTTTGCAGAATAACTTCGTCTCGGAAAAAGCGAACATCGAATATTTCCAGCGGGCACTTGTAATGTTTAATTATTTCATTTCAGCTTCATTCATTTTTCTTATTTCAGTCTCAGTTTAGTTTAGTTTAGTTTGCGCTCGTGCTTCTTACATTTTCATGTGTAAACGACACGAAATTTGCCCATTAAAAATTTGTCCATAATTCTTCAAATACGATAACAATTTTCCAACCTGTCAAAAAAGTCGATCCTCCTTAATACAACATTTGTCGAGTTTTCTGTAAAAAAAAAAAAGCAAGTACAAAAATCACAAATAACGAGACCTACGGGAAGACATGCTCTACAAGATTCAAGAACAACCGCCTCCTTTTTAAAGTCGGTTAAAAATCAAAAACAATCCGAGAGCAATATTTCATTTCTCACGGTCACTGCCAAAATTCAAAGTTCCGTGTTTCTCGAAAAAATTCGAAACGGGCAAAACGATGACTTAAACTCCCCCCGAATGTCCTCGGACAACATTGTGGCGAAATTTCGCGAAAATCGGTTCGTCACAAAATGGCCCCCGATATCATCAATAACACGCCGCGCCAGCAAACAGTTTATCGGTCTGACGCTCGGCAAAAAGACGCGCGTCGTCTGACAATCGATAATGCTATCACACGCCACGGTACGATCGAACACTTTATGCAGCTGCGATTTCCTGCACCGCTTCGTCGTGCTACCGATGAATTCGATAAAGCTCGATCGAGCTCGAGCACCGCGACAAAACGTCCCTTAATTGCCAGATTGATTCGTGGGTAGGGACAGCGAGGTGCGCGATTATCCGAGCGTGAGTCGGTGATAAAGTCCCCCCTGGCGGAGAGGGGGACGCCGTAATATCCGTCTACTGATAGACTTTCTATGTAATTTCACTCTAGCCGCGGTTAAGAGTGCTTTCTCGCGTCGCCTAGCGTGCCACCGCGAACATTTTCTCACCCGTTGCCCTCCCACATCGGATTTCCATGCGAAGTCTTCTGGTATTCAAAACGAACCAGCCGAACGGACGAGGTCTCGCGCTCCATCTCCTCCATGTTTGATCAAAATCAACGGCAGGTAAAAAGAAATGATGACTTTCTTTCGTCGAAGTCAGGGAATCGTCGGAATGATCAATCGGAGTTATTTATTGAGATAAATTTTTCAGTTCGTCAAAAATTCATACGGATCGAGTTTCATTCGTGGAATGATTCAAATAATCAGGATTTATTCCGATACATTTTTAATGATATTCATTTCTATTGAAAAGAAATTGGAATTCGAAAAATATTCGTTCGTGTTGCGTGTTATTGTGAATTATCATGCGAATAAAGATTTATTCAAATAAAGATTTATTCGAATAAACATCCATTTGAAAAATCATTCAAATAATACAGATTTATTCGGATACACTTTTACTCGAATAAATCTTCTTTCGTGCAACATTTTTTATTCGAATCATCGCTTAAATAGTGATTCATTCGATTAAATGTTCGTTCGTATAGAATTCCGAATAAAATTATAACAAAGGAACGATGCGCAGTTTAGGTGCAGTTATTGCAACCTATCGAAAAAGTCAATCGATCCAGATATTGGATATCAAAATATAACATCGTAGAATTATTTATTATTCGTAATATATTACACGTGTGATCGCTAATCACGTAGAAAGGTGACAAAGAAAACACTCGTGTAATCGTTCGCATCATAAAAATAACTTTCCACGGATAACTGAATTCATAGAGATTCGACTGTAAAATACAGCGATCCACCCAAAACGTATAAAAATTTGTCCCTCCGATCGAATAAACGTAACGAACAAATTGCCACTCGTTAGTTTCATTGGTCGCCTATTATTCCAGTAGAAGTTTCTCCCATCTGTAGTCGAACCGCCGTCGCGTGTTGCGTGATTTTATTGAAAACTTTTGAAAAATAACTCGCCCAAAGTCGGGACCGCGACGATGATCGAGCACTCGTTATCGATACGGTCGAAAATAACACTTACGTTTCACAGAGGGAAACGTGGAACGATAGCAGCGGTGCAAAGGTGACGTCAGGTGACAAACGTGTGTCAGATGCCAGGTGATAGATGAATATCACCCGTGGCAGCGTGGACCGAACCAGTTAGCAGATAGTGACGAGTTGCCCGGATTTGTGGTGGTTTAACCAAACGAGAGGCGCCGTGTGTTGTTGGTTTATCGACGGCACTATACTCCCAGAATTGTTAACTATAGCTACACGTGGATATATCGGTATCCCAATTTCCGGATCCTGTTATTCAGAACACGTGAATATATTTCGATCTTTAGCTTTATGAAAATACCAGGTCCGAAATGTGGATTAGCATTGACACGTATTTATCAATGAGTGTTTAAATTCAAATTGAAGTTATTTAGCCAGTGCTTGCAAAGCCGATTTGCTGACGAATAACGTTGCACGAACATGGGCTGGTTGGAATTCTGGAATAATTTTCACGTATAAAGTGACGAGAGTAGTCGTGTCATCTACGAAATTAAATCGTTGATTAGATGGAAAATGTATTTAATGTAATTATTATTGCGAGGATGTAACGCCGTGTATTTCAATTTCCAAAGTGCATGCATCGGTCTTTAATTATGAGTGCAAAGTAACGAGTGGAATGGTGAAAGAATGGTAAAATTCGATAAAACTGGAACGAATAAACAAGATATTAAGAAGGTAAATAGAACAGAAAGGTGATAATTAATTAAATATTATAGAAATATATAATACAATAAAATAATATAAATCTTCTTATCTTTCCTTCTGGAAAGAGAGAAATTACAGAGTGCCTTTTATATTTACGACAACCTCTGTAGCCAAACAGTAGATTCATTCACATTACTCCTTTCGACACTTCCCCATTGTATTCCATGCGTCCACAATGGAACGATGGTAAAGTAATTATAAAGAAGCAATTAATTATACAGTGTGAGAGATAACTTGTGTCCCAGGATCCACTACATCCTATTCACTTTAATGTCCCATTTATTTTTCTTCGTTTTGACGGTGCTCCATCCAGGTGAAGGCCAAACTATCCGGAAGCAATTTACTGCCTCGAGCCTCAATTATAGAAAGTGAGCTGGTCTCGTAACTCGATTGATAACACTCATTTGCTACTTGCAGGGAGGTGGGAGGAGGAGGTGTGGTACGAATACGTCCGCGAGTCACAGTATAAACGACGTAGGCTCTCTTGCAACTTGTGCTCGCAGACAGGGCTTGTCTTCATTAAAGTCCCGGCCCCGAAACTGGCCTCGTTGTGTTTCGCTAATGGCAAGCACTGGCAGCGGTCGCTTCGCGCTAATTGCTCGCGCTCAAGTATCCATTATTGCATCCGCGCGACGTAATTCAATCGGCGCGTTTCCGCCCGAGGCGTTTTCATTGCGTCGCGGCTCAAATTTCCTCGGCGTTTGAGTCGACGGCGAGCAGGTTTGCATCCTGCGATACGCAATCAATCTCGTTTCGAGGCGGCCTTTAAGCGTAAAACCGAGCCAGAAATTCTGCCCTGTCGTGCCACCGGCTCGGTCGAATTCAACCTCTACGGGGCTCGGAATTTCTCCGTGGCTATGTGCTGACTGGGACCGTCGATGATGATCCCGACTTAATCAACGTGGTGATTTTCGGCGGGCTGATCTCTTCGATGCTGGGAACATTCATCGATTCCACGTTTCAGTTGATGTTGATACTGTTTCGCGACTTCGGTAGGGGTGGAGTTTAGAATTTTTGGGGTGTTTAGGTCCCCGACTTG